TTTACGGTGTTTGCATAAAACAACTAAGTATTCAGCCTGTGTATTTTTTTTTCCTTCCCTTTTCAAAATAAGCTGCTAACAGTGAATGGCTCAGGATGCATCCAGAATGTGGCTATAATCTCGTAAATTCTCCTCACCTGAAGCCGGCTTGGGTCTTAGATAGAGCTCTCTGGCACTTGACCTGTATGGTGGCTGAAGGAAAGTGTATTGATAAAGGAATTCCTCCTTTAATTGAAAATGATCATCACCTGAATGTAAGTAAATAAGAACTAAGTATATGCTAATGAACACTAAAAAAAGCTGAATAAACCTTTAATGTTCTTCAGGGATTGTGATGCACAAAATATGGTACATACTTTGCAGATATATTTAATAGAACAATTTTTACCCCAAACACTTACATTTTTCCAAAAAAAAAAAAAAGACTTAGCTATTTTAAATCACATTAATCATCAGCATAATTAACTAATATAATTTATATCTTTGCAGTGTATCCGTAAAATAATTTGGGAAGATATATATCCAAAAATTAAACTATGGGAATTTTTCCAAGTGGATGTTAACAAAGCTGTGCAGCAATTTAAAACCCTTCTAACTCAAGGTAAACTCTGTTACCAAAGCACATGGATTATTTAATTAGAATTAGTATGCTAGAATTCAAGAAACTTTATACATAAACTTATTAACAAGCTGGAAAACAAAATAACCCTAGTTTTTACTGTGTGAGAAACCTACTATGCTGCGTTAAACATACGTGAATGCTTTGAAAGCTAGTAAAGCCTTTGAAGACTGGGCTTCCTAGTCTAGGAAAAAATTTAGTAGAAAGGAAGAAGAATGAGTTTTTTGCCTGAATCTAGTATTATAACTGAGCACGGTTGCTTCTGAATAGCCAGCTCTGACGGATCTTGAATTTTTCCTTTCCTTTGCAACCCTCCAAAACCCTTGTCTTGCTTGCACCAGAATGGCAAAAGTTGTGTCTCTTTTAAATGTATTTTCTATTTTTATTTAATTATTACTTTTAAAATTTTGTCCTCAGGCAAAATGAGCACTAAATCTGATCCAAATCAACATCTTCAAATAGTTCAGGATCCTAATTATAAACGACTTGGCTGTACTGTAGATATGGATATAGCACTGGCAACTTTCATACCACACAGGTATTGTATTAGTGATTACAAGTTAAAATTAGAAGTAAAGGTAAATTTGCAGAACCAAACAAGGTAAAATTATTTTCAAAGATAGGAAAAATATAATTTTCCACTCATTTTATGTATATTTATTATGAAGTGTTTTAAAAATGAATGTTTCTAATTGTTCTCTGATGTAATTTCCACCTGCTAAGCAATGGACCAGCTGCAATAGAAGAGTGTTGTAACTGGTTTCGCAAGAGGATTGAAGAACTGAATGCTGAACAGTACAGACAAACTAATCACCATCAAGAACAGGTCTTATAGTTGCTGTGTTTTAATGCTGAATTGTTTTAAATTGCAAATAAATGAAATTTTTTTTTAATAATGGATAACTTAATTACTTCTAGGCTGTCAACTGTCTTGTGGGGACTGTGGTTTATGAACGACTGGCTGGTCATGGTCCTAAACTGGGTCCTGTTACTAGAAGATATCCTTTAGTTACCAGGTATTACAACTTTTCTTAATTGAAAAAGTCTCAAATCTCTACAGGGAAAGTGATTTCATAGCTCATTAAAAGTAAAAATTTGTACGTTTTCTCTCCAGTGGGCAATGTTTGCTTAATCTGTGATTTGACTGTCTTGTTTAAGCCATGATGACAACTGATAAACATGTGAATTCAGAGAGCATGAGATGACTCAGGGCACATTGAAGCCTTACATAGTGCAAATTGTTTTTGCAGGTGGAAGAGGGCTAGAACTAGGAAAACCTGTACTTTTCCTGTTTGATGTACCTGATGCTCCTTGTATATCTGAGGGGCTGGGGTTTTATTTTTGCGCTATCAGCTGGCACCAAGATAGTGGAAACAACTGTCCTTTCTCCTTTGAGACATGTTCCAAAATGGAAAACTGTCCATCGTTTATAGTTTGGCAGCAGCTTTTTATATCTGCCTTACCGAAAAGGCAGTTTGTAGCCTAATTTCAAAGGCAATGAATTGCAGTTAAGGTTGTCTTATGTTTGTTTTTTTTAATTTGGTTTATTTCTTTAGTTGCTTGTGTTATTCCATAGGTATTTTACTTATCCATTCAAAGAACTGACTGTGGAGGAAGAAGAAACTATGATACATCAGCCAGATAAGGCTTGTTATTTCATGGCCCATAATGGCTGGGTAATGGGAGATGATCCTCTTAAAAACTTTGCTGAACCAGGTTTGTAAAGGAACTTCAAATAATTTTTTTAAAACCTTTTGATACTATAGCCAAAGCAAAGAGGATTTTCTTTAGTTAGTCTTTTTTTCCAGATGTAGTCCTCTGAAGTTGCAAAAAGCAAAGTAATGGGCAGGTGTTCAGTGTGTAGCACTTTTACTTCTCCTTCAGCGTACGAAAGATTGAATATAATAGCCAGGATTTGAGGTACGGTTCTTCAAGATTTCAGAGGCAAATTACCAGCTCTCTGTCACTGAAATGGGGACATCCTGCCTCCCCATGCCTGTCGTTGTCTTTGCTGCTTATGGTGTACTTTTTTCCACCGTCACCACTTCTTGGACTTTGCATAAGCTACTTGCCAAGGTGGCAGAAAAATAATGCAGTAATAAGGTGGATAGTGTTCTGCTGCATCAGGGAGCAAGAGCTGGCTCCTGGTAAGGTCCAGTGAGTGCCACAGGTAAAAACAGTCAAGAGGTGACCGCATGAGGTGATGTAGGGATGGGATAGGGAGGAGCAGGGAAA